AGGTTGGCTCAAAGCTGATCTCTTGTCACAAGCTAGTATTGGCTTGTGTTATTCCCTACTTCAGAGCCATGTTTCTCTCTGAAATGGCTGAAGCCAAGCAAACGCTTATTGAGATCAGAGATTTTGATGGTGATGCAATAGAAGACTTGGTAAAGTTTGTCTATTCTTCCCGGCTTACTTTGACTGTTGACAATGTCCAGCCTCTCTTATATGCAGCCTGTATTCTGCAGGTTGAACTGGTAGCTAGAGCTTGTTGTGAATACATGAAGTTACACTTTCATCCCTCTAATTGCCTGGCAGTAAGAGCCTTTGCAGAAAATCACAATCGAATAGACTTAATGGACATGGCGGATCAGTATGCCTGTGAGCATTTTACTGAAGTGGTGGAGTGTGAAGACTTTGTAAGTGTGTCACCCCAGCACCTCCATAAGCTTTTGTCTTCCAGTGATTTAAATATTGAGAATGAAAAGCAGGTCTATAGTGCTGCCATCAAGTGGCTTCTTGCTAATCCTCAGCATCATTCCAAATGGTTGGATGAAACACTTGCACAGGTAGGGGCTGAAATAAGATTGTGTATAGAAATGAAGTGATACAGAAGCAAACCACCATGTTTCATTTATTAGGAAAAGTATCGATTATCAGAAGGAATATAGAAATCATTGATATAAGACTGATGCAAATGGCCTTGACTCTCTTATTCACTCGCTATACTATTTAAGATGTCTGAATTTGTATATTTGAATTAGAAATAATCTGCTTTCCAATATGAATATTTAAAATATTCTTTTGAGATAGCTCAGGATACCTTGAGTTAGCTAAATCACCACTTTGATATCTTTTCTTAGAAAAATGAAGCTTTTAATGTAGTAATGAATATTTTACTTATGCTAATAGAAAATGATTCTGAGGAAATAGCTCTAAATTAATATAATTTATAACTTAATTGTTTTATAATGAAATTTCTAAATTTTACTGAAATTATTTGGCTAATCAAGGTACATTTATTCCTAATGCACATATATTTATTCTGGAAAGAATCACAAGACATGGTAATAGTTACTTTTGGGGAAAAGGACAAAAAAGGAGAAATGAGACTTTAGCTCTCCATTTTCTTCCTTTCTCCATAGTTTGACTTGTCTAACCTCAGAAATGTGTTGCTTTATTATTTATTTATTTTTTACTGTTAACAGGGGTTACTTGCATAGGGAGATAATAAATAGGCCCTTTAAAACTGGTGCTTTGGTTTTAATTTTCCTTTCTTTTCTCCTTGACCCCCCCTCCCCCCCATTTCTCTCCTCATTTCTGAGAAGTAGAATGAAGCTACTTAAAAGAGGATTGTTTTTGTTTTGTTTTGCAAATTTAAATGCTTTGTTAAAACATGCTTGATAGAAGCACTTGGTGGTAATAATTATGCTAATTATTTTATAGTGTTAAATTTCTGAATAGCATTATCACAAATTTTAGCAAACAAATATTACGAAGAATAAAGTTGCTTATAATTACCAGTGTTCTCATTGTAGATATTTGTAGACAAATGAAGCAAACCTATTTAAAGTGTGATTATAATGAGACTGATATTTTTTCAAGCACATGTAACAATATTTATGCATTCAAATGAGCATCTAACTCCAGAACACTTTCAGGATTTCTGTCTTAGAATTACTTTGAAAATAAGTTTGTCAGCAAAAACAGGTTTCATTATCTTGCAGCTATATCTTATTTTGTGTGTATGTGTGCGTGCTTTTAACTGAAAAATAGTTTTACATACTTTGACCATCCCCTCCAATCCACTGGAAAATCAATGCATGTTTACGAGAAGAATGGTGGGTGCCTCTACTGAAAGAGGGGCTATATCGCTGAGTTAGTTTATAGGTTTCATAGGTTATTGATTTAGAGAAAACAGCATTTATTTGTTCAGGTATGAATGCGTATTTAAGTAAGAAATAAATCACATTTCTATATGTTAAATCTTAGCCTAAAAAAGCAAAAGAACAAAGCACAACAATTTTGTTTTGATTGTGTCTTTAGCAATAAAGAGGCCCTTGTGATTATATCAGTACCATTTTTGGAAGTGAGCAAGTAATTTGAATGCAGATATAAATTATTCAGTCTATTTAAATCTGAATTCAAAACAGGAAGGCTATATTAATTTAACATATAGTCTGATTTCATTAGTGCAGACCAGTACTGGAAATTGCTTAGAACTTGGCACACTGAATTTCAGTTTCTATGCTGAAAAGGCTTTATGAAGTAAATGAATTTCAAAAAGAGAACGTAATGCAGTGAAAGTGGTGAATAAGCTATCCAGTTACAACTTAAATTTTATATCTGTAACTATTCATGATCTTAGGTTCGCCTGCCGTTGTTGCCAGTTGACTTTCTCATGGGTGTTGTGGCAAAAGAACAGGTTGTCAAACAAAATCTAAAATGTAGAGATTTATTGGATGAAGCAAGAAATTACCACCTTCACTTGAGTAGCAGAGCAGTACCTGACTTTGAATATTCCATTCGGACTACACCAAGAAAGCATACTGCTGGTAATTAAATTATTCATTTTATCAGCTCTGCTGGAAGGATCTTTGTTGTATTCGAGAGTTGGTTATGAATTTCCAGACTTAATTGTAAGATAATTAGTATTGGATTGCTTTAAAGTAATCATGGAAAAAATAAGGTTATATACATATTCATAATTCTTACTGTACATGATTTAGTTTTAGTGATAAACCTATTTTTATAAAAGTCACAAGTCCTATACACACTGAAGAGCCTACTGAAATATTTTTTCCTTTGACGTCTTCCCTGATTCTCCTAAGCAGAATTAGCTCATCTAATATTTGTGCTTTTAGAGCACTTTGTTTGCACTTATTTTACCATGTTGGCCTTTATATTGTATTCTAATTTACTTATATGACATGTTTTGAGCTCTTCAAAGACAGATAAGTACCTTATTTAGGTTTATATCCCTAGTGCCAAGTATGGAGCTTGACACATAATACATGCTTAAATATTTGTTTTTGCATTAGATAGACACTTAATATATCTAACATTTGTGTAGTGGAACATATTAGACTCTTAGAATGTAGTGTCTGTGTTTTAGGAGGCATGCGGTTTCACCTTTATTTGCCACAATTTTCAAACTTTGCATTTTCCCAAGAAAATATTTCATGTTCACTTATATTCTTAATATGCATAAAGAGTAATTCACACAAACTCTAAAATACAGTGCCATATTGCCCTATTTTAGGAGGAGTAATTTGATATGAAAGAGATTCCCATCTTCTGTAAACCCTGCTTGTTTATTTACTTGGTCTAAAGCCAAAAGGAAAGTTATTAGGGTAGGTCCAGGAATCAGAAAGAAGTGAAGATAGGTAGAGAACATATTTGAGGGATGAGAGAAAATAAATAAGGTTCAGGAATTCAGGAAGAAGTATTCTACATTTGCTGTTACCTAATACAGAGTTAGGAGCCTGGTGGTGAAATAGTTAAGTGCTCAGCTGCTAACTGAAAGGTCAGGGGTTCAAATCCACCATCGATTGATTCTGCGGGAGAAAGACCTGGTGATCTGCTTCCATAAAGATTACAGCCTAGGAAACTATGGGGCAGTTCTACTCTGTCCTATATGGTCTCTATGAGCTGGAATCAACTCAACAGTACACAACAACAACAACAATATTAAGTTATCAAATAAAGAAGTCTATGGAATAGCCTGAAAACAACCACCAAAAACATACTTGGTTATGAACAGAATGGGATTTTATTAAGGTAATATAGTTAAAGAAAGTTTGAAAGTCATACCAAAAAAACAAACCTGTTGTGGTTGAGTCAGTTCTGACTCATAATGACCCTATAGGACAGAACAGCCCCATAGGGTTTCCAAGGCTGTGAATCTTTCAGACTGCCACATCTTTCTCCCCGCGGAGTGGCTGGTGGGTTTGAACCACTGACCTTTCAGTCAGCAGCCTGTGTGCTTGTCCACTGCACCACCAGGGCTCCTTTTGAAAGTCATAGACCTGCCTAAAAAAAGTAGTTCTTCTAAATAATTTGTTTAGCATGAAAATTATTTATTTATTCTCCTTTTTTATAGGTTGATGTGAAGAATTAAATTTTTTTGAAGTATAGATGTTTTTTAGTTGTGAATCCTGTTTTAGGAAGTCAAGGTATTTGATGAAATTCATCTTCAAATTCATATTTGAATTTAAACTACATCTTCTCAGCCCTGGTTATATGCCAGACATACATAAGACACTAATATATATAATCTCTTATATAATTACAAGAAGCTTATGAAGTAGCTTTTACTGAAGGGTTCCACCATCGTGATGAGACGTTGATGGTGTTATTTCATTTTATGGATGAAGAGACTTAAGAACCAGATAAGTTGTTAAAAGCGTGTCCAAAGCTATACAGATGATAAATAGCAGAGAAAGGATTTGCATCCTAATTTTTTTGCTTCAATTTTAGTTTGTCTTTTTCCCTTCCATGTTGTCTTAGTCATCTAGTGCTGCTGTAACAGAAATACGAGTGGATGGTTTTAACAAAGAGGAGTTTATTTCCTCACAGTTAAAGTAGGCTAAAAGTCCAAATTCAGGGTGTTAGCTCCAGGGGAAGGCTTTTTCTCTCTGTCGGCCTTCTTCTCTTCAGACTAGGAGCTTCTCTGCGCAGGGACCCTGGTCCAAAGGACGTGCTCTGCTCCCGGCACTGCTTTCTTGATACTATGAGGTCCCCTGGTCTCACTGCCCACTTCTGTCTTTTATATCTCAAGAGATTGCCTCAGGACACAAGCCAGTCTTGTAAACTGAGTCCTGCCTCACTAACACAACTGCTGCCCATCCTCCCTCATTAATAGCATAGAGGCAGGATTTACCACTCATGGGAAAATCACACAATACTGGGAATCGTGGCCCAGCCAAATTGATACACGCATTTTTTGGGGGACATAATTAAATCCATGACACGTCATGTTCATAGGTGACCTACATACTTTAAATACTCATTTCTACATAAAGAAAATCCAGTCAATGATTAGGATTACATTCCGGGATTGTGGTCCCAGCTGTGTTATTAAATCTGTAATTTGAGGCAAATTTCCTTCTTTTTTTTTAAATAATTTACTTGATTTTTGTTGTTGTTAATATACACAGCAGAACATACATCAATTCAACAGTTTCTACCTATACAATTCAGTGACACTGATTACATTTTTCGAGTTGTGCAACCATTCTTACCCTCCCTGTCTGAGTTGCTCTTCCTCCATTAACATAAACTCACTGCCCCGTAAATTTCCTATCTAATCTTTCGAGTTGCTGTTGTGAGTTTGAACTCATATAGATAGATCTTAAAAGAGAACAATGCTCAGGGCAGACATTCTTTACCAGTTAAGCAAAACTATTGTTTGGTTTTAAGACTTCAGGAGATATTTTTGTTTAAGGTTTAAGGATTAAAGATTACCTCAGGGCAATAGTCTCAGGGGTTCATCTAGCCTTCGTGGATTCAAAAAGTCTGGATTCCATGAAAATTTGAAATTCTGTTCTGCTTTTCCCCCTTTTGATCAGAATTCTATGGAATCTTTGATCAAGCTGTTCAGAGTGGTAGCCAGGCACCATCCAGTTCTTCTGATCTCATAGTAAAGGGGGCAGTTGTTCTTGGAGACAGTTAGTGGGGCAAATTTCTAATCTCTCAAGGCTTCAGTTTGTTTGAAGTCAGTTTGGGGCTACATGATCTTTAAATTCTCTTCCAACTTTAAATTTCTTTGACTTAAAATATTGAATTAGCTGGAAAAGATAACACAAGCAGTTCCATTCATTCATTTCTGCAGTCATTCAGCAAACATTTATTAATTGCCTATCACATGCCAGGCTGTGGGGTAGGTACTAGGAATGCAAACATGAATTGACTATAACCAGCCCTGTTTGGGGAAGACTTGCAGTCTGGTCTAGGGAAATATACATGTGAATAAATGAATTCAGTAAAATATTACAAGTGCTTTGATATAATCATAAAGGATAGTGGGCAGCACAAAGAATGGTTGGTTATTTTTACCATGGAGGGGTCAGAGAAAATTTTATAGAGAAAGTGAACCCCAGTCACAGTTTTGAACAATGAAAAGAGGCAGAAGATTGGATTAGATCCTGGAAGGCTTTTATGCTGTGCTAAGGCTTTGTCCTGTAGGGCAGCAGTTCTCAAAGTGTGACTCACCAACATCAGCATTCACTTGGGATCTTGTTAGAAATTCTCAGACTATACCCCAAACTTACTGAATCAGAACTCTAGGGGTCAGGCCCAGCAATCTTCTTTAAACCCTCTTTGGTGATTCTAAACCATGCTAAAGTTTTTTGTTGTTTTATTGTGGTAAAATATATATAATATAAAATCTACCATTTTGACCATTTTTTAGTGGAATTTGCTAAAGTTTTTGAGAACTACTAATGCAGGTAATGGAGCCCTGGTGGTGGAACAGGACTAAGAGCTCAGGCTGCTAAACAGGAGGTCGGCAGTTCAAATCCACCAGCCACTCCTTGGAAACCCCATGGGGCAGTTCTGCTCTGTCCTTTAGGGTCACTATGAGTCAGAATTGACTCAACACCAATGGGGTTTTTTTTTTTTTGGCAGTTTAATGTAGATAATGGAAAGCTGTTGAAAGAGCCTTTTAGTTAGTTACACTAATAACAGCATGAAACATGAATTTGAAAGCAAAACCATTAAGTGATAAGAGAGAACAGGGTTCTGCAGTGGATGAGTAAACCTGATGTGGGCTTGAACTAAGGCATTGACAGTGGGAATAGAGAGGGAGAGATAGGACCCTTGAGGGAAAGAAGAGGTGGTTTAGATAGGCGAGGAGGGGAAGATGAATTTATTTTTGAACATGTTGAGTTTGAGGTGCCTGTGGGATATTAAGAGGAAATGTGGCTTAGAAATGTAGATAGGAAGGAACTTTTCTAGTGTGAGCATGAAGTTTGTGAGAAGCGGGCTAAGAACGGAACATGGAAAACATTAGGGAGAAGGAGGGAAATGATGACACAAAAGGAGACGTTTGTATTACAGAATTCTATTGGATTTTGTAATGACCTTAGCAAGAGCAATTTTACAGAGTGGGTGAGGGGGCATAAACCATATTGTAATGAAATGTTAGCAAGCAGAGATAACTAATGTACTTTATTATTTGAGAAGTTCAAATAGGGAGAAAGAAGATTAGATTACATTTTCCAGTAACATAACCACATTGAATGCTGTCCAAATAATGTGTCTTTTTTCTTTGTCATTAATCAAAATTTTTATTTCCTAAATATTTTTCTACCTTAATTTAAAAAAATATATTATCAGTGATTTTGATCTCTCCATTTTGTGGCTTTATCTTTAGGTGTGCTGTTTTGTGTAGGTGGTCGAGGTGGATCTGGTGACCCCTTTCGCAGTATTGAATGCTATTCTATCAACAAAAACAGTTGGTTCTTTGGACCAGAAATGAATAGCCGAAGGCGCCATGTGGGTGTGATCTCTGTGGAAGGTAGATACACTATTGTTTTAAATCACATTATATTATCATAATCTCCAATATTTGAACATTGAGAATTCCTTTCTTTATATAAGAAAATTGCTAAATTATAAAATATTTTTCAACATATCAGTAAAATATTTGTATACTGATTATTGTTCAGTGTATAATCTATTGCATATAGGTGCATAATGTGGAGATGACTAAGGGAAAAAGGGGGTAAAGAGTTAACTATTCTGAATTATA